TGTCAAATTGGTTTCCATACAACACCCAGTGCTCATCCCAACAGGTGCCCTCCTCAAGGCCCATCACCCACTTTCCCCTCCCTCCCACCCCCCATCAACCCTCAGTTTATTCTCAGTTTTTAAAAGTCTCTTATGGTTTGGCTCCCTTCCTCTCTAACTTTTTTTTTTCCTTCCCCTCCCTCATGGTCTTCTGTTAAGTTTCTCAGGATCCACATAAGAGTGAAAACATATGGTATCTGGTCTTTCTCTGTATGATTTATTTCACTTAGCATAACACTCTCCAGTTCCATCCACGTTGCTACAAAGGGCCATATTTCATTCTTTCTCATTGCCAAGTAGTATTCCATTGTGTATATAAACCATAATTTCTTTATCCATTCATCCATTGATGGACATTTAGGCTCTTGCCATAGTTTGGCTGTTGTTGAAAGTGTTGCTATAAACATTGGGGTACAAGTACCCCTATGCATCAGCACTCCTGTATCCCTTGGGTAAATTCCTAGCAGTGCTATTGCTGGGCCATAGAGTGGATCTTTTTGTTTGTTTGTTTTTCGTAGATCTATTTTTAATTTTTTGAGGAACTTCCACACTGTTTTCCAGAGCGGCTGCAATATACCTCCCTGCCATTGTGAAACTACTCATTGCCTTTAATGCTTTTCCTCTTTTCATTCACAGAGTAAAACAAACTGATAGTCTATTTCAGTATCCTCACTATAAAAATAAATAATCGTACTAAAACAATTCAATATAGGATTTAGAGAATTTTCCTTAACTCATTTAGGTAACTGAGAAGTAACTCCTGAGGTGGGAGGTATATGTATTGTGGATTTTGTTTTTTATTTGATCTTTAAGAATAGATCATACCACAGCTGTCTAAAATGTCTTAGGCTATCTGTGCCTTGTACAGGAATTGCCCTTAGGTACCCTGTAAATGTTTAAATTTACTTGAGTGATTGTATTACTACCTCAAAAGTAAAGAGCTACATGATCCAAGGTTCTTAAACTTGCTGGGCTTGTAATTCAGTCTGTTGAAGTTTGCTAACACAAAGAAATGATTAAAAAGTCAAGACTTGGTAATTTTAAAAATATACATTAAAAAATTCACAATTGTCTAAGTATATGTCCTTGAAAGTATTTTCAAATCTTTCTTGTTATTCATGGTTTTTGAGTCCATTGAATGTTTTTCCCCCTCCTATACCTATACATGCTTTAAATTTGGTTGTACCTAGAGTGTTAAATTTTTCTTACTTGTGTTTTATGCTCTTATTCTAGTTAATTTCATTTTTTTTTTTTTTTGCCAGAAGATACTGAGTTTTAAGCAGTGTCACAATTCAAAAGCAGTGTCAACTTCAAAACCAGGTTTTGTTTATTTATTTATTCATTTTTGTGAGAGAGAGCATGAGCAGGGAAGGGGGAGAGAGAGGGGGGGACAAAGGATCCCAAGGGGGCTCTGCGCTGACAGCAGTGAGCCTGATGCAGGGCTCGAACTCATGGAATCGTGAGGTCATGACCTAAGCTGAAGTCGGATGCTCAACTGACTGAGCCACCCACGTGCCCCCCAAACCAGGTTTTAAAGTGTTTTCTCCCTCCTGTTTGGTTCCTTAGTTCAAAGATTTGTGTGTGTGTGCGCTTTGTTTCTTTCTCTTACAAAGTTAAAAGATTTAAAAAATTTATTACATTCGGGTTGTAGAAGTGAATTTTCAGCAAGTGTAGCTATAACTAATGTGATTGAATATGCTTGTGGCAAATTATTTTAAGCTTTTTTAAAGACACTTTGCTTTCCTCGGCGCTAGTAGAACTGGGCCCCCTTTGGACCCTATTCCAAATAGAGATGTTTTGATTTAGTAGTACGTTTTTCAGGGGGCATGGTTTAGTTTTATTTGTTGTGACCATAAATTATGGCATAGTGTTTTCAGTTGAATGTGTGATCCTAGCTATTGTTAAAGTAATTGTTATAGTAAACATTGAAAATTCTTTTAGCATTAGGTATTTACACCCTGAATATTACAAGGACACTGTAGGCAGTAATCATAACTCCACTTTAATACATTGTTCAGAGGATGTCTAAACTTTCATCTTAGAGTGTTTCTAAAACTATTTTATTAAGAGAGTAGTATTATGTAGTTCTTTTGCAGAGGACAAAATATGAATAGTGCAATAATAGCAAAAAAAAAAAAATTTTTTTTCTGAAGAAGCCAAAGGACATTGTGACTATAAATGGACACTAATAGTTGTGTTTTCTTCTTGGTATTATGCAATAACTAGCTTTTACTTAAAATTAACACCATTAAGTCTTCAGTAGAAGGAAGATAATAAAGAAAATGTTTCCTATTTCCCTCCTTTCTATTTATTCTCAGTCTTCAATGATGACATTTTGCTTTTATCCAAATCCTTCAGAGTAATTTTAGTACATTTTATGGATTGAATTATTCTCCTTAAATTATATCTGGGTAAATTTTACTCTTATTCTGGTTATCTAAAACTAGAGAGAATGTTTGAAAGTTTCTTAATGAAGTGAATTGACCTGTAAATTGAGTAGTAGTTTGTTCCAGTAAAATGGAAATCTTCAATATAAGTTCACAAAGTGTCTTGAGTTGAGTTTTAGAAGTGGTTTTAAATTCCATAACCTCAGTTAACATTGCTGATGTCTGAGAGCCATTAACAGTCACTCATGTAAGTTTTCATTTCTTCCTGCAAGTGGCTTGTTTTATCCTTTATCTAGTGACTGCCTGCCAGTATAGTTTCTCCTTTGTGACAGTGCTGGTTGCAGTTTCCTCTTACTGAAATCATAGTTGTCAGGAATAGGCAGAGCATACAGTAGGCTTTGTAGATGGTGGTGACAGAAAGGTGTCCTTGAATTTCTAGATCAGCACTGTCCAGTACAACTTTCTGTGACGAAGGAAATGTTCTCAATATTGGTAGCCACTAGGCACATGTAGTTCTTGAGCACTTGCAATGTGGTTTATGGATCTGATAAACTCAATTTTTAATTTTATTTACTTTTAAGTAGCCACATATGGCTAGTGGCTACCGTGTTGGGGACAGCACGTTCTAGATGACCAGGTTTAATGATCATTTGTTCTCACAGGTCACATGTAATTTTTGTGTACATGAGCTTTTATATCACAAGTAACAGCTTTTTCACATTTAAAGGATTTTTCATTATATCTCAGTGAAACTGGAGGGGAAAAAAAGAAAAGAAATATTAGGAGTCCAGTCTGATTTGGAGCCAAAGCCGCAAAACGTAACTTCTTATTTAGTTGACTAACTTAGAATATCACTGTAGTATGTGAGCTGAAAAATAAGTAGGCGTTCTGTCATTTGTGACTTCTACTTTTTTACTGGCGGAAGCTTGCCAGATGGGTGAAATAGTTGTGTTTGTCATTCCTGCAGTAGAAGAAAGTGGCTACATAGAGACAGTTATCCTTTTGAAGGTAGTGCATATATTCCTAATCTAATACCCACCAGTGCAGTCTGAGGAAGGGGTACAGAATGTAAACATTAAAAAGAATACTTTATCAAAATCAACATCCAAATTGATGGAAATGGCTGTTGCTAAGCAGAAGAATTATTTGAGAATTAGTAATGTTTTTAAAATGTCAAGAAAACTTGCAATAGAACTGAAATCTGAATGCAACATTCTTGGATTTGTAATCTTTTTCATAATACTTAATAGAAAAATGTTTTGTAAGAATGTTTCTGTACTACATTTTGTGTTTATTTATATTTAGTATGCAGATACCCTTTGTCAAAGTCAAAATTATCCCTAAAATATTTAGATCACTAGGAAACCATTGTTTTAAATTCACATAGATAAAGCATCATTTTGCATTTTGTTCTAGAAACTGAAATCAGTCAATTAGAATGGTTTTATAAAATTTTATGTGACTCTATTAAGCCATGGTTGTGTATTTGTCATTGTTGCATATTTGGTTTTAGTTTGTACTTTATCGCTTTTGGATTAAACTATGAATATCTGTACTTGCTGTTTTGCTGATACTTGCTTCCTAATGTTGAGGGGACCTGTGCTGCTGGCGTAGAGTTGAATAAAGTTTCATGGCAGCTCACTACTTCACAGTTAAGATATGTCCATGCTGTCTTGAATTAAACATTTAAAAAGCTGCCAAAGTTATGCCACAGTGCAGCGTGGGATGAATAGCTTCCTTACCTCTGGCATCAAAAATGAAGTATTATCAGCTAAGCGTCTGACTCTTGTTTTCGGCTCAAGCCATGGACTCTCGGTCACGGGATTGAGCCCCGTGCTGGGCTCTGCACTGACAGTGTGGAGCCTGCTTGGGATTTTCTTTCTCTCTCCCTCTGTCTGCCCCTCTCCCACTCGTGTTTTCTTTCTCTCTGCCTCAAAATAAATATTTAAAAAATGCAGTATTATTGTTTGCTTCTACTGTCCTCTTGACAGTAGGAAAATAATGCCCCATTCCTGTTAGTTGGAACTAACAAATATTGCACTTGTGAAGTTGACTTAATTCAAGAGTGTGTGATTTATTTGTATTTTTTTTTTCAAAGTTCTTTTTTTATTTTTTCAAAGTTTTTTTATTCATTTATTTTGGGGGGAGAGAGAATCTCAAGCAGGCTCTGCACTGACAGCTTGGAGCCGGACATGGGGGGCTCAAGCTTACCAACCGTGAGAGCATGGCCAAAATCAAGTTCGAGCTTAACCATCTGAGCCGCCCAGGAGCCCCTAGATGAAGGTTTAAACCAATGGAGATATTAAAATAGGAAATTGAGTTTGAAGAGAAGATGGTGAGGCCAGATATATCAAAAACATTATTTTTAAAGAACCAATTATCTTTAAATAAACAATGTGTATGTCTTGTGTATTCTTTGATGCGCCATATTAACAGTGTATGTATGAAAGCCCTTGGGCTCAAGCAGATAGCTTCCCTGTACGTTTGAGGGTGGGAAGACGGGAGAGGCAGGCTCAGCTGCTATTTACATCTCTGACCTAGGCTCCTATTTGACCTAAGTCTATCTTGATACAGCAGCACAGGCCAGCGAGGAGGCAGTGTCATTTCGCCGTGAACGCAGCACATTTAGGCGCCAGGCAGTACGGCGCCGGCACAATGCAGGGAGTAACCCTACCCCTCCTACATTGCTCATCGGATCACCCCTCAGGTATGGTATTTTAAAATTCCACCAAGCTTAGCATGCATGTAACAGACCTTCTAACCTGTTCTGTCAGTGCCAGGAAAGCATTCAAATTGCTTTTTCTTTTCCCTCCAGTTTCTCCTATAGTTTTAAGCTCTTTGGGCTTTCTCTGCATGTGACCACGAGCCTGCTGCATTCTGCATGCCTTGCGTTGCACTGTTTAGACAAAACGATCAGATTGGGTTAGTCCATTTTAAATAGCAAAATTACTTTAGGGCATCTCTATAAATGTAAATAGAGGCCTTAAGTCAGCTTTTCTTTTTTTTTTCTACTCCCTATTAATATTATTTCAGCATCTTTTCCCCAACATCTTGATCAGTTTAATAGGAACAATTATGGGATGAGTGGTGAGCTTGTTGAGGAATACAGATAACTGACCTCAGCTTGATAAGCCAGTTTATTTTATTTCACTAAAATATATATTTTGTATTGCTTAAAAATTTGTATCTTTTATTTCATAATCAGTAGAACCTGGTAAATGACATGGGACGAAAATACTCTATGGCAAAGTATGGTCAATTGGATATATATGTATATATTTGTATATATCTGTGTTGAATTTCTCCACTTTTACTAGTGCTGAAGAAAAACATTTTTTGCATTTCCCAATATTCCTAATTAAGAAAACATCTATTTATAATATTGGGAATAGTTTTCCATTAAACTTTTAGTGTTTTATTCTCAAGTATGTCTTACACATCAAAACATTTATGCTTATGCTTTAATACAAATATGGACAAAAATGCTTTACATGTGCTTGCTTAGGCAGTGCACATAAAATACCATATACTCTCATTAATCTCTGTGTTAAAAATCACCATTACCAAATTATTTTCCTACATTTTAATCTGGAATTCAAAAAGAACACTTAGTGAAACAACTCCTGTTGAATACATGGTAGATCAGAAGAGCTGACCCCCTTCCCTTGTTAAAATCCTGTTCTTGAGAGTAACAAAATCTTTCTCTTTACATTTCCCTAGAATTTAAGACTTGCTTATTTTTTCTGGGTTTTACATTACAATCAGGAGCTTCACCTTTTGTGGGTCATGTTCCTAATTAATCCTGCAGTAATACATAATTCTGTAAGAAGTAGTATGGATTAGTTAAACCAACATTGAAAATATGAAAATGGGAAGGCACCAGTTAAAAAAACATTTGGTCTAGAAACCTTTTTCTGAGCACCTTTGCCTTTTATGAACCCTCCCCTTCTGCTCCCTGAATTAACTTCTTTTTGCTGATGGATTTGGGGTCTAGCCCCAACCTGCAGAAAGAGCTCAGCATTTCATTTTACTTTTTGTTTTGTTTTTTCTAACCTTTTCATTTTGCCCCTTTAATAACACTTGCCATAGACCTGTTTGCTTTCTTACTCCATGGTGCTGTTTATTAATCCCTTTTTTTATTTTAACCTTCTTTTTTTGGTCTTTGCAAACCCTTTCATTCTTTGCCACAAATAAGCCTGCTGGATCCCACTTACCCAACAAACGCAGACAAATTACTTTTTTCTTTGCCTGGTGGAATATTAAAGAACTGTGTGCTAACTCCAGCCAATCATGTAGAATTCTGTAGGGTTTTAAATACATCACCGTTCAAATGAGGATAATGGCGTGATTCTTACTTGTAAAGCACTCACTTTAGAATTTTTGGCAGGTAATCTTCTAGTAGTCAGTGTGCAGATTTTGTTAAGATTCTAGGATATTTCCAGCATAAACTTTACATGTATCTTAAATAGGTGACTTTATCATGGATGAAATAAGATACAATTTAGCTTAGAGAAATTAAAAACACCAATAGATAAAATCTTTTTTAAATTGCAAAAATATTCAGGTAGAAAATATTGGTGTTAATTCTGTTTGAATTACATAATAATACTCTCATCTTTAAGTAAATATAGGATTGCATGGTCATGGAAAACTTGAAAAACTTGTTTGTCAAAAGGAAATGGAATAGGAGTGACAGTACTTTAATTACAATTACTATATAAGTACCAGTAAAATGTACTAACTTATTTTAAACTTTAATAAATAGTTCAAGTAATTGACAGTCAAAAGCAACTTGGTAAATTGTATGTTTTCAAGGATTGTGAGTGAATCATAAATTTCTTCCTGAAGGGAAAATGCAGATTTTTAAAATAATTGTTAGAATGTCTTGTTTCAGAATTATTTTTAAGTGTCCTTTTCATTAAGTTAGTCTCGTAGGTAGCTTCGATAGGCCCTTGCCAGTTCTCAGTTACTAGAGAGAAAAGCAAAGATTAATATTTAAAAATTTTATAGTACTAGTATTAAGAGTTCCATATTTATCTATTTTTATCAACCCAAATATGGTATCTTTTAGAACTCTGGTTAATGGACTGGAATGAAAAATTAGTTGCATTTGGGGAGGGGACAAAAGCTTTATCTTATTCTTAGATCTTTTTTTTTTTTTAAAGTGTTAGAAGATTGAAAGATCTGTAATCAAATAAGGTCATAGTAGTAACAGAATACATGATTAGAAATTCATAGGGATCATTTTGTGGTACTCAGGAAAATCCACCAAATATTTGTTGTTTGTGTACTGTGTTCAAGGCATTCCTTTGAGTATTCTCTGGAATCTGCAGATTCATAAGAATAATGTGATGATACTCTTAGAGTTTACTTTTTCATCATGGAGACACAAATAAAAATAACCAACGATATAAGGCAGAAGGTGCCAAATTCTAAATAAGTGGTACAGAGGAAAGAAAGACCAAGACCAACTATATTTTTCTGCTATTCCTTATTATTTTTTAAACTTTATTTTTGTATTTTTGAGAGAGGGGGCAAGAGAGCACTAGTGGGGTAGGGGCAAGAGAGAGAATTCCAAGCAGGCTCTGTGTTGACAGATGTGGGGGCTTGAACTCACTAACCGTGACCTGAGCTGACATAAAGAGTTAACCCACTGAGCCACCCAGAGGCCCCTGTTTTTCTGCCATTTAAATTGGAAATGTTAATGGGTAAGATTGCATGTCATTGATACTATTGATAGCCAATAGTTAGACCTAAATTTCTATCTTTCCTTTTACTATGTTGTAAAATAGTTGCTACCTTTTCTCAAACTGGTAGTTTTGATAGAGAATTGGTACTCTAAAAAATATTAGCTCCTGTCGGTTATTAGTTAGGTAAAGTACAAACATCCAGGAATAGTTTTCCTACCAACTTCTGTAAAAATGAGAGGTTTTTTGGTTGTTGAAGGATTTTCAAAACAGGAATTCAAGGGACATAAACATTTATGATTAGCTTTTGATGTTCAAAACCTTGACAGCCACATAGATTTTCACTAGTTTCTTTTGTTTCTTTATTCTGGAATCGATTTTCATGCATTGCCTAATACTTTGGAAACCTTTTTGTATATATGGGTATATTGAGGATTATTGTATTCTCAAATGTGTTCACATTAAAATACACCTAACTGCCATATAGCACCTTTGTTTTTGACTTTAAGTAAAAACAAAAAAGGACAGAAATATTTGTTGAGTACATATTGTATAAAATTCTTCTGTCTTCCAATTCAGAATCGGAAGGGACATAGTACTTGAACTACTTAAAACACCTTTTTTGTCAGAATTTTCTCCCTTGTAAGATTTGGTCATTTTGGTAAGCTTTGTAAATAACTTTGGATTTTGAGGAAGAGTAACAGACTTATTATATATGTATGGAAAATACAACGATATTTGATTCCATTAATTCCCAAGATCATCTCTCGATTTATGTCAGTTGTACAAACATCTACTCCAAAGGAGTTATTAAACGAATACCTTTATAGTTACAGCTTAAAAAAATAATGCAAGTAAGCATCAACAAGTCAACATTGTGTGGACTTGGTTTTTTCATGTGTTCCACACATTCCTCTGCTCTATTTAGAGTGTATACTTTTTGTTGGCTCTAAAAGAAGCCTGAACTATGAATGTTCCAGGTAGTAATGGTTAGTAGGACTTTCTGTGGTGGTAGAAAGATCTATGTAATTAACACTGTCCAGTGTGGTGGACACTACTAGCTTTTGCCCACTCCGGTAGCTCTTCACTACGGCAGCCACTAGCTACTTGATGTGGCTCTTGAGCACTTGCAATGAGCTTGGTGGAACTGTGGAACTAAAATTTTAGTGTAGATAGTCACATGTGGTTACTTTATCAGACAGTGTGATTCCAAAGTGTATTCTGTTGCCATAACCACAGGCTTCAGCAGCATAAGCAGTGTTTTCTACTTAGTCTTTTATTACATGGTTACTTTAAATTGCAGCTTTCTTCACTGTCCATAAAGATGAGTTTATTTTATAGGCATCAGAGAAATCATTGCATTGAATTCAGAACATTAGAAAGAAGTTGGTACTCAAAAAAATGATAAAATAACTGAATAAGGCCATCCTATGCAGCAGTCTTGCTGTGGTTGTTTACTCAAAGGTCTAATTTAATAACAATGCAGTTACTTTGAACATCATGTAGAGAATGACATATAATAATTATACTCAAAATATTTTCATGAGTTTCATTGATTTAAATTTGAGTATTAAGCACATTAAAATTCATAGTATTTTAAACATCTAAAATATAAAATGAGTTAAGAATATAATAGTTTCTTAATTATAGATGTTTAGATATTTAGATTTGATAGTTTTAATAAATGGCAAGTCTATAACAAAATACTAATAATATATTAACAGAATTCTGTAAGATTTAAAAAAGACTGTAATATCCCTTGAGAAATTACAGGTTTCCAAAATATTTTTAAGATTTTCTAAAATGATGGGCCCTTGTTAATGAAATGATGAAATGGGTTGGAGAAGGTAATAACATGTATACAGAGCCTGTGTGGCTTTATTTAAAAAATACGCAGGCTTTTCATAGAAAAAATACTTTATAAATTAATCATACTTGCAGCATCCCAGCAGTCATTTGTATTTCACTCGGTTGAGTCGATGTTTGTTATTCCATTTCTCTTGCACTAGTTTGTGATTTTCTTTTGATTGAAAATTGTCACCTTGGTAGCATTTGATAAGGATTCTTTGGTTTTCAGGTGCATAGAAACTTTGTTTTATTGTGAATTCGAGATGCCAGAATATTTGAAAGAACAATTCTAGAATTATAAAGGTTATAAAGAAAAGTGCATATTTAAACTGACAAAGAGGATTTATCTCTTGGGGACCAGCTACAACCCCCATATATAGTTAATGTGCTTGTTTTTCTTTGCTGCTTTCTTTTTCCTTACACTAGAATTTTGTTGGCTTGGGGTGGGGAAAAGTCACAGATTGGTTAGTTTACATATACATTAAATGTTTGCTGTGTTCATCACAATGACTCGGTTTTCTAAGGACCAGAAGATTTAAGACAGCAGTGTAATCTGTATATGTTGCAAAGTTTGTTAGCTTTCTTAGGTTACATTGAAAAAATCAGGTTACATTTTGAAATCCATTTTCTATATTGACTTCATTCTAGCTGTTGTTTTTTTCTTTTCTTCCCTGTAATGTCTCCCCAATCCATGTTTTTTCCTAGCCTTCAAGATGGTCAGCAAGGCCAGCAGTCCACAGCCCAGGTCAAAGTCCAGTCCCGCCCCCCTTCCCAGGCTGCAGTGCTCAGTGCTAGTGCCTCCTTGCTGGTGAGAAATGGGAGTGTCCACTTAGAAGCATCACATGACAATGCATCTGCTGTAGGCGGCAGCAGTTTGCACGATGAACTTGGTATGCAGGCCTTATGTAATCTTGGTGATACAAAACTGTAATACAGCAGATGATGGGTAACAATGATTGCAATTTCTGTGAGACAGCTTCATTTGGAACTATGCATAAGAGCACTTTTTTATAGGATTTGTCCTATGTGTGAGGAAAATTTGACTTGCTTTCCCTTTTCGGTTTCTCTCAACTTTTACTGTTTTGTTTTGTTTTGTTTTGTTGTTTTTAGCATATTATTGGTAGATAGTTAAAAGTATTAATGTTCATGCTTTAGTGTTCTCTTAAAATGATTCGGGCAGTCCTGTTACTCGTTGGCACTTGTACTCTGTGGGGAAATGCTGATTTTTTGAAAAATGATTTTGATTAAATCTTAAATTCTTTGAATTTGCTGAATGTGCTGCAGGAAGGGCAAAGATACTTTCTGATGGTCTGTTGCTATGGAATCTTTCTTTTGGGTATTCTATATTTCATTTCAGTGTCTGTCACCTGAGATAGACTTACGTAATCCTAAATGCAGTACTCTGAGGACACCATGGCTCTACACTAATATCAATAAATTCATCAAGTTTTTTTTTTCCTGTTAATATACCTATAAATATTAATATAAGTTATTAAGTAGTTTATTCTCAGAGGGGTGGTGTAGTTTAAAACCTCAGTAATGTATAGCCACTCAGATACCTCTTTTGTACTTTACAGACAGTATTTTATATTATACTTTGTATGTAAAATATATACAAAGTATATAAAATATAGAGTATTTTATTCTTTAGTTTCTATTTCTCTGTAAATCCATCTTGTGTTCAGAATGCAGATTAGTAACAAGAAAATGAAAAACAATGAAGATAATTTTGTTATTAAAAAATACACAATTGAAAGCACCACATTTGCTCCCAGTGATTTTGTTTTGTTATAGCTGTGTTTCATTTATAGAGATGATAATCCACTTGGCACCTTGGCTAGAAGGATGTGTGGTATAAGGTGCCCGAATTAGATATAATAACGTTTCATATGCCATTTGTTGACATTTCCCATTTTGTAAAATCCTTCGTTATAGAAAGTTAACAATTAGACAAGCATATTGATGAAAATAATTATCCTTAGCAAATCTTACAGAAACCTGAAAATGGTCATCTAAGATATTTATAACATTGGCATATATAGTGATTTCTAAATAAAAAGAGAAGGCAGTAAAACATTTTAATTTCAGAGTGCTTTTGCTTTTGAGTTTACAATTTGAAGAAGCAAGGGAGTTTATTAGGAGGGTCCTCAATTTGGTTACTTGCTTTGAATTAGAATGGTGATACTTTTTTAGTTACAAATAATACTCAGTTGATATCTTTTTATCGCTATTTCTCTCAGGTTCACTCAAAGTCCTTTGAACAGAGGATTTGTCAATTTGTGCATATGAAATTACAGTGGCCATCACCATTGCCCATTCGGTTTGTGGTAGCAGCTTTGTGAAAATAAAAGGCTTAATTTTGACCCATTTTGGATTTTTAGACTTTTGCCAAATCAAACATAAAATGATGTGGTAGATGACTTTTCTCTATAAAACCTAATTTGCCCAAAAACTTGCTAAGAAAGCCTTAATGGTAAAATCCCATTCTGAATCCACTTGCAGATTATTGAAAATATGTACATATGAACTCACTGGACAGTTCTAAAGGTAAAGTCTGGAGTGACTTTAGCATCTGTGGGTGAATATTCAGGATGTTGTCTTGAAATTTGGATTTTTTTTCTTATCTGCCTTCTAATAGCTAGTCACTGGCCTGTGGGACCTGGCTGCGGCCAAATTGAATGTATTGTGATAATTAGCACAAAACAAGCAATCAGTGGACAGTGTATACCTGTTCCATAGCATATAAAGTTGGCCAAAAAAGATCCTGAAAATGAGCTACAGTTGAACTTAAAGGTATTGGTGGAGATACTGATTTTTATAATATATTCCACTAGAATATTTTTGTTACATAGTTTAATTTTCTTCATGATTATAATTAACAGTGGTAAGATAACTTTGGGTAAATGAATTTGGGTCCTGTATACTCAAATATGTTAAAGTGAGTCATGATATTCCCTAAAAATATGAAATATTTAGAAAGGATTGTTTCCTTCCAAATTTAGCTTCTTCGGTTGAAAATTTTTTAATGTACGATATTTACATATGAAAATGTGTACACATAATGCATTTATATAAAACACTCGTACAAGCATACATATACATTCATACATATGTATGTTTGAGTGCATATAAATGTTTGCCTATGTACACATATATACGTAATACTTGGTTTACTTTCAACAGAGGAACAGCCTTTTTGGATTAAAGGAAACTTGCAGTCAGGCATTGTTTAATTCTAAGCCTAGGTAGTTTTCCTTAACTGTTTTCTACATCTTTACTTTGTGGTATCATACTAGATAACCACAACTATAAACGACAGCCGTAAACCCATAAACCCATTATTTCTCTGTTGAATTTTAACTAGCGTGTCAGGGTTACCAGGTAACATTAGACATGGTGGAAAAATTCACTGAAGGTGGTATTTTAAGGATTTTATTAGTGGCTTTTTCAGCAGAAGAAAATGTATTTTCATCATAGGTACTCAGGCATAATTGTTAATCATATTTAATTTTAAAGGCTGAATTGTAAGTATATGATTTAGAACCTAGTTGGAAAAATTTGGATGGTTTTCTTTCTTATTTATAGACTTCACCTCCATGCAAACTTAGTTAAAAAAAAAAAAAGATTCCAATGATGTGACAGATAAGTTTTAAAGTTAGCATCTTTGTTTTTTTTTTTTTTTTAAATTTTTTTTTTCAACGTTTATTTATTTTTGGGACAGAGAGAGACAGCATGAACGGGCGAGGGGCAGAGAGAGAGGGAGACACAGAATTGGAAACAGGCTCCAGGCTCTGAGCCATCAGCCCAGAGCCCGACGCGGGGCTCGAACTCAGGACCGCGAGATCGTGACCTGGCTGAAGTCGGATGCTTAACCGACTGCGCCACCCAGGTGCCCCTAAAGTTAGCATCTTTGAAAAGGCAGTTAGTGTCTAAGAATTTCTCAAATCCTTCAGTGTAACATACCACTTTTTTTTTTTTTTTAACCACATCTTAAGGGTTAAAGTACCTCCTCACCAGTCTTCTGGGGGACTCCTTTCTTTGCAGTTTGTTTCCTACTATATTCTGAATTAAATTGCAGTTACACTAAATAAAATAAGCTGTGCTTAGTGCCCAGATAAGTCACACGAGGGACTCTGAATTCACATAGCCTTAAAGTTCTATTTTTTTTTTAATCTATCAAGCTTTTTCTATAAAACTTGGCAATCACTTCTCAGTTTTATGCTAAACTCAGCTTTCTCTTGTAAATTTAGACTAATAAATCGATGTAGTGATGCCTTTATAGTTGATAGTTAAATGCTTAATATGTGGCACATCTCAGAGGAAACGTTCTAGATAAGGCCTGGTAAAACAGGAAAATTTACGTGTGTTTTTTTTCTGTGTGTGAAATTAGTGGTGGTCGTTGGTGGAGATATGCTTTGAAAAATTATATGTAATAGTACATAAAACTTTCATGTAAAAAATAAGAAATGAGGAAAAGTTTGTATCTATGTTTAAAATGTAAATATGAAATATATAAAAATCATAGGTGATATTCCTCTGACAGATATGTTTTCTTAATTTCATTAATGCATTCGAGGTTTAAAAAGTGATGACTGAACTTTTCTGAGGCTTTCTTTTATTTCATTGCTATGCAAGGATTGACAAAGAAGGTATTCTTTGAGATAATCTGCTTTACTACAGAATTTATTAACTTGAAAATGTGGTCAGCTCTAGAAAAAGACTTAAATCTGCCAGTACCCTACCCTCCCTATTGGCCTTTTTATTAAGCGGCTTATAGCAGCTATGCGTTGTTAAGCAGAAATATGATTTGGAGGCTTTAAAATTTTTTACTTTAAAAAGCGGGGCTCAGATGATCTATAATACTTTCATGATTTTTATTAGAGTTAGTCTTGGTGTTTAAACAGGGTTATATGTATTATGCATTTTGTTATATGTTATATGTTTTATGTTGTATGCCTTAACATTTTGTGCTACATTACAGATACTTTTTCTTACTATACAGAGATCAGAGGGCTATGGGACCTTGGAGTTTATACGTCAGTGCCCTATGTTACGGCAGATCATTTTCATTCATCTAAACAAAAAGTTATGTTCTTTTTGCAGCGGCCTTGATCTTTTATTGATATTTTTGAATACAAAAAAAGCCGCATTTTGTTTTTTATTGAGGGGAGTGCGACACAAAATATATACAAATGAAAGCAAAATGTTTATTTTTATTGAAGCAATAAAGATCCTTTATTATTATCTAAAAGGAAGAAGTGTGAAGTTTGGGGATATTTTCTTCATTTTGATAAATTAGAATGTATTTTTCTCATTCTTGTAACAGAAATACAAGTTTAGAAATATTAGAAACTATAATGAAAATTAAGTGATCTGTAATTTTATCACTTAGAGATACTCAATTTTGAAATTTTATAATTTTTTCCTCCCTGTCTTTTTTAATGCACACATTTTGTATACTTTCCTGAAACGGAATTGGGATCATGGTGGGTGACTTGGTGCTACTGTATGAGTTTTGTATCTTGCTTTTTTCACTTAGCATGTATGTTATTTATCCATGTTATTAACTGTTCTTTAACTTGTTTGTAAGTGATGGCATAATATTTTATCTCTGAAATCTCCATGAAAGGGAGTAGGATGTAGTGGACTCCATAGTCAGACTTCATGTCTTCCAGTCCACACTCTACTGCTTATGAGTTGTGTGGCCTTGGGCAAGTTATTTTGTCCCTGTGCGTCAGTTCCCTAATTTATCAAATTAATAACAGTATCTACTTCATAGGTCTATAGTGAGGATCATATCTATTAAAATGTGCAAAGCAATTAGAACAGTGCGTGGCAATGATAAGTCAATTACATAAATAATCATTGCTATCATCATTATTAACATTAT